GGGCACACTGCTGGCTCATATTCAGCCGCCTGTCGACCAACACCCCCAGGTCCTTTTCTGCTGGGCAGCTTTCCAGCCACTCTTCCCCATGCCTGTAGCGTTGCGTGGGGTTGTTGTGACCCCAGGGCAGGACCCGGCACTTGGCCTTGTTGAACCTCCTACAGTTGGCCTCGGCAACTAGCTTCTCCAGGAAAATGCTGTGGGAATGCATCCCGCTATCCCAACGACGCCCCACTGCTCAAAGCTTTCCCATGGCTCCAGGACTCTCAAGCAGGCAGGAGATGGAGTCCAGTTCACGCCCCACCTCCCTCCTGGGGTTACTGGGAAGGTAAAAAGGGTGGGCCATGTGCAGACCACATGCTCCAGCAGCACAGCTTGTGCTGCTCAGCACGACCGATGGAGGAGGAGGTGCACAGGATGTTTTTAGGATCGTCCACTTCTTACCTCCCACTGCAGGTGGGGGGGAATGTTTCGGATCTGGATCTTCCTGCTCCTGCAAAGACAAAGCCCTGGGTTAAGGTCTGCAGGTACAGCACAGCCCAAGGGCAAAGGCTTTCTGGGAATCTGAGGGGAGAGCTTGCTGAAACATCCCGCTTCCCCGTGCCGAGCTGGAGCAGCTCATCCCCCGGGAAAGCCATTTCTCCCAGCCTTGCCCTGGCCACCTCCCGCCGGGGCCGAAGCTGTCTGGGGAATACTCCTTCCTCACGCTGGCTGCCAGGTTTCCAAGGAAACCTCCTGAAATGAACCTCTGCAGAGTCCCAGCCACACAGGTACGGGCCAGGATGTGTGCAGGCACACCAATGACCGCACTGCCCCGGGCTGGCCAGCAGCAGGGGGACAGGACCCCAAGACCCATCAGGGCCAGCCCTGCCATCCTTTGAGGGGGGCTCTCCGAAGGTGCGTCCTACTGACATCCACCACTTCCCATCAACAGGGGCTGCTTTCTGTGGGAAAAAAACATAACCTCGGAGGCCTGCCCTTGGAGATGGCCAACACACCCAACCTTGCCTGGTTGCACTCCCAGCCTCGCGTGGGTGTACTCCCAAGCTGGCTGTGGTTGCACTCCCAACCTCACCGCAGTGTAGCCTTGGAGGAAGAACACACGGGAAGCATTGCAAAGGCTTCCCAAGAGGTAATGACCACCAAACACCTCCCCAAGCCTGGCCGCAAGAAGACGTGATGAGGCAATGGGGAATTCTGAGACACCTGAGTCCATGGCCAAGCCATAAACTCAACCACTGTTCACCCAGAGCAACGTTCATAGTCCTGCTTGTAGTCAATCAGCTCTGACCAAAGCAGTGCCCTGTGTTCTCACCCGGTCCAGCTCTTAATGCTCTGATCGGAACGGAGCAGGACCATCTCTCCCAACATCAGGGATGAGTTTTCTGACCAAGCCACCCCATGCACACACACACAGAGCCAGGTTTTGGCAGTCAATCGTCAGCCAGAAGCTGGTTTTGCGAAGCTTTGCCCTTCCGTGGGACAAGCTCAAGGAGGATGCTTGGAAGGACCGGTACCACCAGCCTAAATGCTATACGGGGTCGCACAAACAGCCACCAGCAGCCAGCCAGCAACGCGCAGGGGCTTTGGGCCACATCATGCTCTTCTTGCCTGCAAAGCATCAATGCCCAACACCCTGATTCCACCAGCGCTCTTCAACAGCTGGAAAACGAGACCTTCAAACTTTGGCCCAAGCAGAGAAGCTGGTCCCTGCACTTGTTGCTCATCGCATACGTGCACCCCACAAACAATTTTGGCAGATAGAGAGCTTCTAAGGTAGTTTGGGGCCAGGGACTGGGGACAAGAAGGAAATGTGGGGCACAGCAAGAAGCAGAGGAAAGGCTAGCCCACGCAGACCCAAAGCAGCTGGGGGTGGGGTGAGCCGTGCACCGCAGCACTGGAGGTTGGCATGCTCCAGACATGATCCTTCTGCCTCTACGGTGGTGGCACGCTCCACTTGCTCCCAGTTTCATAGCACAGGATAACCAGAACCTTGTGATGGACAACCTTGTGAAACGCAAATTCGGGGAGCGGTGTGAGCAATGTGACTATAAGGATGCTGAAGAATGCATGCAGCAATCTGGGGCAGCTGCCCCATGCACGGCAGATAAAACACAGGCTCCAAGCAAGAAAGGGACGGCAGGGAAAGGATGTTGCTGTGAAGGCAAGACAAAATCCACAGCTCGTCCCATGAGAAGGGCCATGGTCAAGCAAAGCAGCTGAAACTACCAAGGAGCCTCACGTCTCTTGGTGCTGCTCAAACAGGCATGGTGAGCGGTGTGATCAGCATCGGACCACAAACCCTACGTTCACCTCCAACCGAGGAGGTGTGCTCAGTAAATCCCTGTGTGGGTTTGACAGACAGCTTCCCGAGGCCAGCCCCTGACGGATCCTCCTCCGCGGATCCTGCATACAGTGTTCTGGCTGACCGGTCACCTCCACATCACGGCCAAGGCCATTGCCTGGTTTGCGACCTGTCCCCCATGCCATGTCTGTCCCTGCAGGGATGGCTCTGCCCATCAAGAGAAATCAGTCACGGCAAAAAAAGTGGGGAAGCCAGCCACTTTCCCCACAAAAAAAAGTGGGGAACACAGTGCTCTGCCACAGCCTTGTCAAACCCCTCTCGTCTAGCAGCCACGGACTCCTCCCGTCCCCAACTGCCAGCTGGGATTTCAGGGATGGGCACGCAGCTGTAAGATCCTTGCGAGGCCAGGAGCAAGATTCATCCCTTTGTATATTATCCCATCCCATCCTATCCCACGTCACTCCATCCTATCCCATCCCATCCAACCCCATCCCATCCAACCCCATCTCACTCCATCCTATCCCATCTCACTCCATCCCACCATCAAGCCATTCCCACCCCACGCCGGGAAGGAGGCAGCGAGGAGGACGTGGCCCAAGGGGACCACAGCAAGGACAATCCTGCGCTACTCACCGACAGCCTGAACCCTTCTCCTGCCGGTCCTCGTCACCCGCCCATGCCTGACCCTGCACCTCCAATCCCGGGACAAACACTCTGCAGGGCCCGCTCCAGAAAACAGGACACGTTTCATTTTTAAAACCCATGAACATCTCCCAGAGGGGATATTTTAAGGCATCCAGGTCCGGTCCCAGGAGGTGCCGCACGCTCAGCTCCCGAGGGGACCAGTCCTGCCTGCTCAGAGCAACGCATCCCGCTCCCAAGCCAAGCAGTGGCACACAGTGAGGCCAGTTTGCCGGAGCAAACCCCAGTGAGTCTCAAACCATCGGCACAGGAAAGCTTTCCTGGGAAAAGCCCTTCTCAGCACTGAAAGCCCAGCCGAAGCCTGGGACCAGCCTCTCCCCACTGGCAGAGCGAGCTGGACATGCTGCCCAGTTACTTCTACCACCTTCCAGCCCCAAAACAGAACAGGTGACACCTTCACCAGCCAAAGCATCGCCATAGCCGTCCTCCTCCTCCAGCCTGGGAACCATTGGGATGCCACGGGGCTGGACCACAGAGAAGCCACTCTCCTTTTTCGGGTTCATTCAGCTTGGCTCACCCCGTCACCGAAGCCCAGCAACAACAGAAAATCCTCTGCCTTGAATTGAACTGCACCAGGGCCATTGTCTCCCTACTCCTCTGCCAAGGGGGATGCCAGGGCAGCCCCCGAGGTGCTGCCTCACCCCTCCGTGCCGCTCGCCCGCCTCCCAAAACACCCACAGAGAAGGACCGCAGCATGATGCCACGTAATCCTCCTTCTCAGCAGGATGCTACAGCACATCCCCACTTCCAACGTCCACCTGAGCCGACACAGAGCAGCTAAAGATGCCCCAGTGGTGCTCAAGGCTTCCCCACCACCACGGGGCAGGTCTCCCATGAACACCACTCAGCATTTAAAATAAGGTTATTATACCATGCTGGGTGTATTTTTTATAGCTCTTGTAATTCCCCACCTGGTTGGAGCAGTGCTGGACCACGGTGGAGTGATGGGATGAATATCCAGGGCCACGACGGGTGGACATTATTCCCAGGCTGGGCCACAGACCACGCCTGGTCCTCATGGGACAGGGCAGCAGAGCTCAAGGCCACCCTCCTCCAACACCACTCCCAGGAGGACTTTGGGGCAGAATCCCCCTTTATTTTCATTTTCCTCACTCCTTCCAAAACCTGGGAGACGGGAGATCGATTTCAGCGCACACACGCGACCTCCGAGTACAGGACCTCATGATGAAGGCAGCGGCCACATTTCACCCAACCTGTTCTGGAGCAGGCTGGTGGGAATTAAAAATAAATAAATAATAAAAAATGCTAATAACCAGTAACTACAGGCAGGGAGATTGTGGAAAAATACTTAATTACATGGTGCCACTGGCCCTGCCGTAGCGATAACCACGAGAGCTGAACCTTTTTGTGTCACCCTCCTGCTCTCCCCTCCCTGTATGTTCGGTGCCCAGCCCAGGGCGAAATGCCTGGTGACAACTCAGTGTCAGCCTCAAGTGCTAAAGAAACCAGATTTATATAGGTTCACCTGCTTTTTTTCCCTTCTAAATTCAATCAAAGCCGGTCCTGCTCGCCAGCAGCTATTCCGGCTCGAGGAGGAAGCGTCTCCTCCATCCCTGAGCTGGGTTTTGGGTACGGCGTGCCAGCCGGCATCATGCGCAGGACGATGGAGCTGGCTTGCTAATCAAGCAAGGCTGTAAACTGCATTCACGGAATAATCCACGACGGAGCTGTGCCGTAATTCATACATCGGTTAGACCAAAATCACGTGGTCAACATCACGATCATGCCTGGAAAAGGGACGGAAAAAGCCATGTTCACCCGTGTCCCGCCAGCATCACCAGCTGATGTCCATGAATGAGAGCTTCACATGCTAGGTATCTGTGCTTGCTGAAATCAAGCACTGAAACTTGTGGTTTATTCCCCAGAATCAGGCAGACTGGGGGGGGGGTTGGCATATCTCTCCCCTTTCCAGCAGCCCAGGTAAGCAGGAGGACTGGCACGGGTTCATGGCTTCCCCTCCCACAGCTCCCCGGGAAATAACAGATAACAGCCACCCCCAAAATCCAGGGACGCAGAGGATGAATAATAGAGATGAGGCAAAGCTGTGAAATGACAACAAGCCACCAGACCCCCTGCCCAACCTCCAGGAGCCCTCCTGGCATCCGCCCACCCTTCCCCTGCCCGTCGGGCTGCAGCGACACGGATCGTCCCCACCATCCCCCAGTCTCCTGCTCTGGAGGGGCTTTGCCTCCACCTCCCCTACCACAAGCATTTGGGATCCAGAAACCCAATTTCACTCAGCTGCCTTAAATATAAACCTTACAGTGGGATGTAAGGGATGGCTTCGCTGCTCTTTGCCCTAAAAAAAATGAAGATTATTTTCTATCCAAGCTTTGTATTATCTTACTGTAACAAAGCCATACAGGGATTTTATCCCCTTCCGCCTCAGATCCATACCGAGGGCAGAGAAAACACTGTCTGGCAGCTCCTGCTTTCAATAAAAATCAGTTTTCAAAATAATTGGGGAGGGGGGGGAGGAATAAAACAAAATGGGAGGGAAACATGCTGGAAACCAACTGTCTCCCCGGCGGCCCTTGCCTGCTTTATGAAATATTGCCCCAGGCGAGAAAACAGCTACCAAAAAAAAATTATGCTCATCATCAGGCGAGGTCCAAACTCAGCCCCACCTGAATTTTTCAGAGCCAGCGACTTGAAGCCTGGGACAGGCATGCTCCCCTACCCAGGCAGGGTAGAAAGCATCTGCTGGCTTTGCCTCTCTTATTATATATATATTTTACTTTTTTATTTTACTTTTTATATTTTGTCTATCGGGGTCATCCTCCCCAGGTTTTGCTCTGGCCCAACCCAATCCAGCAGCAGATCTTAACGCACAATGGCTCCGTCAGCACCGGGCTGGATAAGCATTAAAGAGCTGCCCCAGTTTCCACCAGTTGCCAAGAGCATCGCGGATGCGTCTGCTCCAGTTCCCCTCCCAGCCCGGCGGCTTTGCCTTGACGCTCTTAAGGAATTAAAACCTGCTCACATTAAAGCCCTGTCCTCTTCCGCAGGACGAACAACCTGGGGGAACGGAGCCGGGTGGGGGGGGAGGACGGGGGACGGGACATGGATGGCGAGGCCAGCACGTGATAGATGCATCCCCGTGAGCTGGGGATGTACTAACAAGGGGGATGAATGGGGAGTAA